CCCCTCATCTGCCGTCATTTTTTTGCGATTTGTTTTAATCGATCTCTTCTGAAAATTATTGGCGCACATTCGGCTTTGAATTTCGTCTGCTATGGCTTCGGAAGTGGCTTTCTTTGAGAAATTTGCGAGTACATCCTTTTCATCCTTCCCGGCGTTTGAGAAGATCTTAAATGAATACATGAAGGATAACTTTGTGATATTTGTGAGTTCATCCAGTAATCGAAGCACCAACACTATTTTACGTTACGAATGAGTGTACTAAAAATGCAGCGGGCGCCCTACAAGACCAACGGAAAGCCGTGGAATCCGAAGAAGCTAGTGAGCCGAGAGCATTTTCTAATAAAAAGTACGCGAAACACCAGCTGTCCAGTGCGGTTTTGTCCACGGAGGCAAAGGAACCAACTGGCAGTGACCTCTTATTTTCTGGAACACAACCAAAAACTGTCAAATTTCTGTACGATCGGCTTCCAGTCAATCGACGCCTAACCGAAAACGAGTTGGGCACATGTCAGGCCCTGATGAGATATGGAACGCCGTCATCTGAGGTGCGGCAGTTTGTGGCGGATGGATTGGGAAAGATTCTTACAACTAAGGATATACACCACTACTGCCGAAAGTGCCGATCGGCTATGTTGAGTAGGTGCCGAATGGTTGGGTTTTAATGTACCAGACGATATGCCTTCAGTCCTGGCAAAACTTCGGGAGGCCGGACGCGTCCTTGTGTGTCAGGGAGAGGAAGGTCACTATAGCCACATATGTTTCTCCCGATGGCAGCAGATAGCGCATAGATAGCAGATACTACGCTTTCCAGATGTAGTAAATGTGGACGGGAAACATGCAACCAACCGCCTTGGGTATGTTTTATAAAGCGTCTAATATTGGGCATTTAGATAATAACTATACACATTCTTGATAACCGACGGCGTCGGAACTGGGCGTCCGGTTATGTGTGCGTTCGTAGAGAGTGAGCAGTTTGCTCCCATGCGTAAACTGTTCGGCTTATTCAAACAAATGATGGGCAAAGCATATCCGGTCAGGACCTTTGTAATGGACAAGTTGGTGGCGC